AGAATATTTAACTCGCAAACGCACTATCCATGAGGCGAATCCTCAGTGCCACTGCGAGAGACTCATCCACACGGTCCTCGCCGACTGTCAATGCGTCGGAACGGCGAGACCTTCGGTGTTTGGGAGACTGTCCCAACAGTCCTCTCGACCAAGGCCCTCCCGTCAAAGGCGCCGTCACCAAAAAAGACGCGCTGCCGATGACTTGGAACTCTCATCCGCCACGGTTAACATGACGGATAAAGGGAAGGCAGTACTCTCCGACTCGCCAGACTCGGATTCCGCCCTAAGACCTAACACTCGGTCCGCTCGACGCCGGCAGGAAGGCATATTCCAGCGAACCCGTAGTCACCGGGGGGTAAGTATTGGGTTTGACTATTCCAACCTAATACCTCCCTCCTGCGGCGAAGATGAGGACCATTCGGCCGCTGCCACATCTCAGACCTCGCGCTCAAGCCAAGACGCGCAGGCGAAGGCACACATGACCAATACCAACCACGAGCAGACAATGGCTCAAAAGTTGGAGGAACAGCAGGCGACCATCGACTCTCTAAGAGAGATGATGGAACAACTGCTGAACAAGAAGAAAAAGAAGAAAAGGGCCCAACGCCCCTTACCCCGGCAAACTAGAGACAGGGAGTGGGTACCTCCCCTCCGTCCCGTGTCTGAGGCGGAGGATAATCAACATTCCGATTATTCCTCCAAGACATCAATAGGAACGTCGCACACTGCGGATAGCACCCGTGACAAGAGGTTCGATGAATTCCAAGACCAGCTGAACGCGCTGAAGCTTCAGCAAAATATGAACAAGCTGGGGGTGGTACGTCCCTACCCCACGGAATGGGACACGGTCCCATACCCAGCGAAGTTCAAACCCATCAGCTTGTTACAGTTTGATGGCAAGGGGTCACCCTCGCAGCACATCTATTATTTTATGGCGCAAACCGGATTCCTTACCGGGAATGACGCCATTCTCACTCGACTGTTCATAGGTACCCTCAAGGGGGTGGCCTTTGAATGGTTCCGCAAATTGGAGCCCGGCTCTATCAAGGCGTGGGCCGACGTTGAAAAGCTTTTCCTCGCCCGCTTCTTCGACGACGACACCGAGGTGTCAATGGCCACTCTCCTTGCTGAGAAGCAACGGAAGTCGGAATCGGTCAATGACTTCGTGAAGAGATTTCGGAACCGATCAGTCCACTGTCGGGACCAAGTTTCCGAGGCGACACTGATCGAGATTAAAATTAGAACTAATTTGTTATAAATTAGAACTAACTTGTTATAAAATAGAACTAGCTTGGTATAAATTAGAACTAATGTGGTTTAAATTAGAACTAACTTGTTATAAAATAGAACTAACTTGATATAAATTAGAACTAACTTGGTATAAATTAGAACTAACATGGTATAAAATAGAACTAACTTGGTATAAATTAGAACAAACTTGGTTAAAATTTTAGAACTAACTTGTTATAAAATAGAACTAACTTGGTATAAATGAGATATAACATGGTATAAATTAGGTTTATAACGTGGTTTAAATTAGAACTAACATAAATTAGATATAACGTGGTATAAATTAGATATAACGTGTAATAAAATAGAACTAACAAGCCATCACACGCTACAGACTTGAACTAACACTGTGCAGAATAGAACTAACACTGTGCAGATTAGAACTAACACTCTACAGAATAGAACTAACACTGTGCAGATTAGAACTAACACTCTACAGAATAGAACTAACACTGTGCAGATTAGAACTAACACTCTACAGAATAGAACTAACACTGTGCAGATTAGAACTAACACTCTACAGAATAGAACTAACACTGTGCAGATTAGAACTAACACTCTACAGAATAGAACTAACACTGTGCAGATTAGAACTAACACTCTACAGAATAGAACTAACACTGTGCAGATTAGAACTAACACTCTACAGAATAGAACTAACACTGTGCAGATTAGAACTAACACTCTACAGAATAGAACTAACACTGTGCAGATTAGAACTAACACTCTACAGAATAGAACTAACACTGTGCAGATTAGAACTAACACTCTACAGAATAGAACTAACACTGTGCAGATTAGAACTAACACTCTACAGAATAGAACTAACACAGTGTTAGTTCTATTCTGTAGAGTGTTAGTTCTATTCTGCAGCGTGTTAGTTCTAATCTGTCTGTAGCGTGTGAGTTCTAATCTGCAGATTAGAACTAACACTCTACAGAACGGAACTAACACTGTGCAGATTAGAACTAACACGCTACAGAATAGAACTAACATAGAATAAGTTAGAACTAACAATGCATAGGTACGAATTAGAATGAAACAAGATCAGTAAAATATGGAACTTACACACAATAGTGTCATGCAACCTGGGACATATGCGACCTTTTGCTTCTTCTTTCCCTCCAAAGCAACTCCAATGCCCCTGATAATTTCATTATAAAAGAACGGGGCCCATGCAACAGAATTGACCCTCTGAATGCTATCCAGGTACCTGAGTAAGGGTCTAGGGATACCTTCCCCTGCTATGGGACTCCATATCATAGAGCATTGGTACAAAATTTGTAGCAGAGCAAAATCCTCGATATCCCGCTTTTTGGTAGATTCAACAAGCCGTTCAAGTAGCCCTTCAAGATGTTACGTTGGCTGGTTTCTGATTTTTTTTAACTTCTTACCCTCTTCAGAAATGAAAAGCTTAGCGAAGTATTCCAGCCATATTCTGCTTCTTGAGTCCCTATTGTTCCTTATGTCCTCCCCATAAATTGGGAAATAAGTATGGTTGTGGACCCATTGCAAATCAAAACTAACATTTTTCATACCCCCACTTTTTGAATCAGGTATACAAAAGGTGTTATTATCTCTATCGAAAAAGCTCAGCAGCAGCTCAAGGGTGGGCCGATCAGGCGCAGGAGCCCCAAATAAAATGTAGTGTTGAAATATAGAACCGCAGTATGCATCCCTATGCCACTGACGGATCTTCGGGGCAAGGCGCTTCATAAATGCCCAATAAGCCCCGATATTGGCCGTTAACCTTAGTGTTTCTGCTGAGCCTGTTAGAGCAATTTTTTTCCTGCAAAAAATTTTCGAATTTGTACGTTCAATAAGACATATGAAACAATATTAGACCTAGCACTAACGGGAACAAAATAGAGCTAACACGTAATATTATAGAACTAACATTGGACTCATATTAGAACTAACATTGGACTTAAACTAGATCTAACGTTGGTATAAATTTAGAACTAACATTGGACAAAGCCTAGAACTAACAATATTGGGTTAATCTGCATTGTCTCTTCGCAGTATAACATAAGCCTAGAACTAACAATATTGGGTTAATCTGCATTGTCTGTTCGCATTATAACATAACACTTACTGTTTTTTTGAGGGGGGGTCGTTGGTACGACCAGCCATTGTCGTCCTCCTTTTCTGGTCTCGCCATTGTAATGCCTCCTTTTGCATTTCGATTAGGGTTTTCGTAGCTTCCGTAGCTTCCTCCGTGCTGCCACCCGCAGATGAAGCGCCTTTTCCTTCCAACTCGGCTCGGTGCCCGACCTCGTAGTCGTTACTGGATTTTTCCGTAGACGACGACATTTTTCCGGCGAAAACCCTAGAAACGTTGAAATTCGTACAGAAATTAGGAAGATGAAGAGTTCTTGATGACGGTGCTAGGTGGAAGAGAGAGAAAGAGAGGGAGAGTACTTGTAAAGGTGAGGGGCACATTAACCCAGCTCAGTCCCATCAGAGGGCAAGATAGTAACTTCCGCTGGGTTTTTTCTGAAAAGAGTCAATTCGGGGCCTCGTCGCAAATACTATGCGTATTTGCGGCTATTCCACATGGGGCAAAATACAGGGGGGCTAGTCACACGAAGTTCCCACTTTTGGGGCCTGGACACATTTTTCCCAAGAAAGTAATATACCTTCAAGCTTTGAGTAAATATAACATGATTCTTAAGAAATAGTGCATGAAAAATTCCATACAAGAAAATGTTAGAACAATATGTACTTGATAATGTGCTATTAAAAAATTGCAAGCACAGACTCGAAGCGTGAGATATAATCGCAAGCATAGACTCAATGATGTAGAAGAGGACTCGATGGATTGTGGTTGGCTATTCCAATTTTTTTTTTTTATCCAAAATGCAAACTCACAACATCATATAAATGGACACATTGGAATAGATATATTGGTAATTTGACTTTAAACTGAAATCCCAATATTGTTGCCTATTTGAATGTGAAAGACTCATGAAAACTTGGTTTCTTTAATTTTTTTTTCTTTTTTTCTTTTTTCCATGAAACCAAACTGTTCACACTTTCTTTGTTTACTTTTTAAGTTTTGTGAAGCAAGTTTTGATTGTCTAGAATTTTGTGTTCTAATTGTTGGCTTTTCATTGTTTTTCACAGATATCATTTTAGCCCTGGCATTAAGTACAAAGCATCACTTTGCTCTAGTTATTTTCATGCAGGCAACTTCTCTTGGTTCTAATTGCTTTCCTTCATCATTATTGATGTAGATATCAGCAGTTTCCAGACTTAAAAGTAACAAATATCCCAACTTTTCTTGGTTCTAATTGTTTTCCCTTTTTTTCATCTAATGGAATTTTATGCTAAAGTTATATTCGCAATTAATCTGAGATTTGCATTCTCTGTAAGTTTCTACATGCTCCAGCTTCAAGGCCTTGAAACCATCAAATATCCCACCAAATTCAAGTTTATTGAAAGGAAAAAAGCCAAAAAAATGAACGAACTTTGAAAGGGATCTTGAAATAATTAGAGAAAGGTAATTTTTTTATTTTTATTTTTTTTGGAATTGGCTTTACGAGCCACGTCAGCATACCCTATCGCTTTATCCTATTTTTACAACTACAAATAAACAATTGAAAAGAAAGAAAGCTGACATTAGGACTCACTTTTTTACAGTTTCCATCCTTTTACGTAGCCAAAAACTCACAGCTTCTCATGCAGTGGAGAGCATGGACAAGAATCCATAAAGGAGACCACCAAATCTCGTTCAAATATTAACAATAACTAGTCAAGAGCAATTACATTCACTATTAGTTCGAGGCCCTAGAAAATATTACATAGTAACTGAAAATTAAAGCATGCATAAATTACAGGAAATAATTAGTACAAATAAAAGGCGTGTCACGTAGCAGAACTATTCTACTTGTACAACAAAGGCCCCGACCTGGACACAGCAAACCTCGGCAATGGGCTTGGGCCCTGTCCGCCAGAACTCGATCCCTCGACAAACTTCACTTTCCGGCCTGGTCCATACTCCAGCGGCCCAGACCGCCTCCGCTGTTGCTTCTCACCACCGACATCCTGATGATACTGTTGTGCAGGTGCGTTGAAGTAAGCAGAGTCCTGTGCATGAGACCGAGGAGTGGACTCTCCACCTCTGTGATGATTATATCGGACAGCAGGAGATGCGTGAGTGAGAGAGATGAGAGGCGATTGTCTTGGAGATTGTGACAGTAATTCCGGTAGGATCACAGGAGATGAGCTCATGTAGTGTTGCTGGTACAGAGATTGGAAAATTGCATATGGAATGTGAGTTTCTAGCGTGCTTCTGGGGAGGTAAGGGGAGATATCGCAGAGGTTATCCAAGAATATCAGCTTTGGTATGATGTGTGACCTGCATTGAGGAGAAATAATGAAATACACGACACAGTAAAATCAGAGACTACACCATCTTAAATAGTACTGGGTTGCCAATTATTCCTAGTGGAAACGGTTGTTGGGGATTATCATAAGAACCTCAATAAAAAGTAACAAAGTACATTGAAATCCGATGATTGGATAAGAAACGAGTGCATTCATACAAGGTTATAAGCTGCCACTGTTGAGGACTAGATCAATTGTGTTGGTTTTATCATCTGCATCGTAGATCACTAAATGCAACAATTAGGGGGTGCGGTGACAAGATTATATTACTGGTGAAAGGAGGACTGGAGATGGGCTCAAGAGAACTTGTTTGGAAGGGAGTCATACTGCAGGATTGAATGGAAAGGAAGAATAGGATTCATCAAGCAGATGCCAAATACTAAGGATAAAGCCTCTGTCAGTGTTGTTGCTGATGATTGCATCTCATTTTAATCTGAACAAAAAGATTGATTATGGTCGTTATGTATTACTTTTATCCTAACAAGAACAATTGCAAAAGATATATCATATACTTGAGACCTCCTTTCATCTCATATTTACTTGTGTACACAAAGGATACATCATGGAGGTTGGGTCTTGTTTCAATCTAAAACAACCCAAGCACCTTGCAAGAATCAAGCATCTATTCATATCTTTGTGCATAGAATTTAATCATCTATAAATAGAATAAATATTCACAACTATTGGGTGATAGTTTTGATATGATTGATGTTCTTGTGGGTCTTTAAAAGTAATTTTCAATGATATCAGACATACCATGAGATCAAATAACCAGCGGGCCATTGGAGAAGCCTATAGAAGAGAGCAAACAAGATGGGATAACTAGATGCAAGTCCAGGAACTAGCAGTCTATGAGAAGATTTTACTGATGATGCAAATATTTGAGATCAAAAGCACAAAAGTTTCCAGGATAAAAATACCTGTTATTATCACTCCATGAATCAAGAACAATTACTGAGGCACATTTTACATAGAGTTGCATAGCAGACTTAATGCTTGCTTCAACTGAGACACGGCTCAGCATTTCAGGCTCTACCATCTCCTTGGCATGCCCATTTGAAAGAGATGCTCTCTGCTTCTCTGCTCTTTCCAGCCTAATAAACTCGCTTCCAGCTATTACAGCATTGATGCACCTACAAAAGCCAAAAGAACTTAAGAATGCTGCAATAAATCGAAAGGATGGACTTTCTTTTTGCATCACTATATCAACGACCCACAACCCTTAGCTCACAATCCCAGTAGTGGAGGTTCTTTTTAATATAAAATTTTCCAGAGTTCCATTATTTGCATAGTTACCTTATTACTAATCTTAATAAGGTTCTAATTTCGTATTATTATCACTTCTTCGAAATCGATCCATTATGATCCTGAAGTTCTGTCAGTCAGAACTTCTTAAAACTTGATACATGTGTTTTCTGTGCGTGCCAGCACACCGGCATCAACAGTCCCAAGTTCTATCTACACAACGATAGTTTTGCACATATCAATGTTAAAAACATGGAATTAGCCTTTCAGCAAAAAGCTTTGGAATTGTTTAATTTTAGAAATAAGTATCAGCAAATATTGCATAGTAAACTCGTCGTCCGTTCTGTGTCCAGAATTTTGTTTAGCAGGGAAAGGACTTAATTATCCTTTTCCAGTCCCCTCGTTTCCCAGTAAAAGAGCTATCAAAACCCATGAATGCCAGACGGAACCAAGAAGCTCCAAAGAAATAAAGTAAAACATATAGTTTAATGATAAGATACATAATACAACTTAAGAATTAGAGTAATACCTGGCTAAGCAGTGCACATTATTGTTGAATCCACCAGTATGGACATTATAACTAGTTGTACTCCAGATATTGGAGGCCATAAGTGTAGCATAAAGATATGGAAGCAAGCTCCAAGAACTGTCAGTTGAAGCACCAGATTCTTCCATGATTGAATGCATCCATTCCGTGTCATGCTCATCAACAACACCTACACTATCCGCCACTTTTCTCAACCTTTTAATTTCGTCCTTATCGGGTACGTCATTAGGTAACTGCTTAGCTACCCCACCTAGCAAGGAAACAATTAGAGGTGCCTTTTCTGCTAAAACTTCTCCAGCAGCCTCTACAAGATTCCTGCGGAATGCTATCGTCTGACCTGCTTGTATACAAAAATCAATCAGTGTCTCCATGTCGAGAATTTGTTTCAGATTCGATTCTCTTTCAATTCGGTCACCAGAATTCAAACACCCAGCTATAGCCTCTAGAGCTTCACGATTTGACCTCAGAGATGTGTTAATACAGTTTAATAATGCTGCAACGTGTTCTCGCATTGTCCTGTCAATTTTGTCAAACCCATAACCGCCGAAAATGCGAATTAAGGCCTTAAGTTCGCTTGAACTAGTAAACGACTCTGCTAAATATCCGCCAATATGTTGTGAACTCTTGAAGCAACTATGTGCAGGCACATATACAATCCCAGCACCAGATACATCTTTGACAATGTTCCCAATGTACCAGTTGCAGATGATTTCTACTGCAGATCCGCTCTGTAAATCGACAGGCTTTTCAAACTTGTGTAGAATGGAAACTGGCCCAGTGAAGGCTTCCATCAGTAAGACTTCACGAATGCCCTCGGTGAGGTCCATACTGATGTGTTGCTCCGCTAGGTGGATGATGCTGATGTGCCTTCGTATAAGTGATTCCATAATTGATGGGCGTTGAAGGCCACTTTCAGTCCTCAAAACAGTAAGTAGCCTTCTCCTGAAGTTTGCAAGGATACAGTCTCTCATATACTGCACAAGAAAGCAACCAAGTGTAAGCAAAAAGGTCAACCATCCGGGAGCTAAACCATGATATTTCTAATATATTAGATCTAGGCAGAAGTAGTTCTCTCTAAGACAAGAAAGATTGGAAAATAAGAAATATCTAAAAGCTTTTGAGTCGTGTATAGAACCTTCTGAATAGTTTGAAACAACACATCTCTTTGGTAGAGGGTGGGGGGACAAAAGGTTTGCTGTACTACGAAGATGGAAACCCAACTTAATATGTCGTTCATGCTCTTGTACTTCCCCAATGAAACCATGTTCATTGAATGGAAAAGAAAACTACGGGGAACAGAAGTAATTTCCATATTTAATAAAAGTTTGGGAAAGTAATTGGAGCCTCAGAACAACCAAATAAGGCAGTGAAAACAGGTCAATTAGAGCCAAGAAATTAAGAGGTTACGAAGTAAGACTCTAGCACAAGCAACTTTAAGGAAAATCAAGAGACAAGTAGAATATGCAGACGGCCTAAATAGTAATTAGCTGTATGTATCAAGAAAGTCCTATAGCATGTTGTACATAATTGACAATGAACAAAATGCTGTCCGTATGAGATAAGTTGATAGATGCTATCATCTTTTTGTATCTGATGGAATGAGGCCGCAACCAAAAACTCCAAAATGGCTTCAAATGAATCTTTGATCACAGGTTTAGCCATGTCATGCAAGCTTTCTATAAAATTAGTTTTAGCTTAGAAGAACAGAACTTATTCTTGAGATTATGAGCAGTAATATGCTTAAAACCCCAAGCACCCGGAACTTAAATATTATACTGTTACCACAAATCACGGCAAACAGCCCCCAGTGCCAGTACATTCTCTTGAGGAGAGGACGCACAACTTTCAAGGGGTAATTTGATGTGTAAAAAGAACAAATCTCAGGGCCTAACTCTTGGTTCTCTGACACCATGTTAATAAAAACTTATGAAAAAAATAACATTATTGTTAGGTAGTGGACAAACAATTTACTCAATGACCAATTTACGCGTAATATTGTAAATCCCTCAATCAATGAGCAAACGAAATGAGATGTTGCAGCATCAATATTAACATGAGATGTTATGAAAGCAGATGCCACGCTTAACTGTAAACAGAGTACAGCTTTTGCTCTATGGTTGAATTAAACTAAATTCTAGAAGTAAAGTTTTTGCTCTATGCTCGAATTAAACTAAATTCTAGAAAATGAAATAGCAGACCTCTCGAAGAACAAAGACATGGTTTAGAACACATATTGGCTCCATATCATTCAACACAGAGCAAAGATTTGTCAATCTCTGCATGGCAGCTTCTAACCTGATAATTTGTACAAATTAGGAAAAAGAAATTGCAGATGTTATTAACTGAAATCTCCATAAATTTAAATAACTCACATTTTGACAGAGTTACTATTTTCAGGATAGCTCTCTTGTCCTGGCATTGGAAAACCAGGAAATGCTTTAGGTGATTTTGAATGGTTTGAGAGTTTCATTGCATTGTTCATGCGAATGGCTGCTTGCTCTGGGAGAAGCTGAAATATTCAGTATAATGAGATTTAACTATGGAGTTTATGTGTTAATCTAGCAGATAGAGGAGCAGAAAACTTGCACACCTGCAATTCCAAGGAGCCAAATCCACCTTCCGAGTCCAGAATATTTATGAGACCTTCCAGGCCACCCATGATAGATTCAATAAGGGACTCAACATACAAAATAGCATCTCTTCCAATTTTACTCAACTGCATAAATCATAAAATAGTTAGCTGGTCAGCCTTTAGATTATTCAGAATCAAGACATCTTCAGTGACTTTTATGGTTTAGTTGGCATTAAACAAAAGATTAGAGGAAGTTAGTTTTTTTTTTTAAATCCACTTTCTAACCAATCCATAGGTTTCCTAAATGCAATTGAACACAAAAGATACATAAAACACACATAGGCACTAGTTTGAGGGAATACAGTAAGAAAACCATCTCAACTTATTTAACGTATATCAACATTTTTAGACCTTCCAAACTTAAAAAATCAATTTAATGAGACATTAATTAAACTTTTATTATTTTGATTTTTTTACATGGAATTGCTTTTGTTAACTGCACTTATAAACCATACTTTAATAAGATTTATTTTAGGAATTATGGGTATTCGTGTTTGTAACCATCAAGATTTAGGATAATTTTAGTAGGTAAGCAACTATTTGACTGTAGCTCAATGTTTTGAATAGAATATAAAGCGCATATAAAGGTCATATAAAGCAGGCAAATATATTTGAGAACCTGATATCACATTTCTGCATACTTGATGCTTTACATTTTACAATGTAACCTGACACTAGAATTCTCATATATAGCACTAGCATGGTGAAGTTTTCTTCCGACCTGCGAATAACAAATGTTTTCTGTTACATCTTTAATTTTCATAAACTTCTTAGGAGATTTACTTATATTTTAGCAGCTGCATGATTTTAAATCCTTTCTATCCTTATACAAATTACCAGACCACGAGCAAGTACTCTGTTAATAATGCATAAGCTCATTGCATTGCTAACATCTGTATTGTAAAGAGTACAGAATACCTCTTCTGGAACAGTAGTAGAAGCACACTCTGGAAAACTGCTTGCAACTCCAAGCCACGCACAGCAGTGCTGTGGGCGTCCTTCTGGCCCAAACATGGTGTTTCTGAATACCTGTTTAAATAGCAAAATCACGCATTGAATAGAGATTCTTTGTTAAACATAATCATAAAACTACAATTTGGGGAAATGAAACAATTTGTAGGAAAACAAACGCTTACTGCTGTCAGATGGTGGTGATAGAAATAAAGCTTTTTGAGGCTTCCATGCTTCGATAGTTGAGCTTCAAGTTCATCCACACATCTAAAATATAAGAAAAGGTGTCAGTAGATGAAAAATTATGCAAGGTTGTATGCAGTATACTATGGAACTGCATGGAAACTTATGATCACAAATCATAAACAGTTAACTATTGAAGAATAAGAAGGAAAAAATCATCATTGAAATATTGTGAATTATTTCCAGCTTGGACCCTGCAGTTCAGATAACTGCAGACCAGGTTAATTTCCAAATTTTCTGGCAAAACCTATGTTTACAGCCACCATATTAAGCAACTGAAATGTCTTCAGCGGCAAAAGGGCCCTTATGCAATTCAGGTTCTGACTCTATGAATACATTAGAAGCTTGTAGTCTTGTACATTATTAGTAAAGTATCATGAACATCAACAATTAAGCTTGAGCATTTCAGTTTTCGAGCTTTCACAATCCATTAACCAAGATTTAGCCAGCTCCATCAACTTGGAGTGTAAAAAAGCAGAACTTTTAAGTTAACCCTTCTAAATTTTGAAATTAATTTAAACTGATTTGCTCGCTTAAGCTTCTTTTGTTAATACCTTGACTTGTTGTCATTTCACTTCTAAGATTTAAATGCTTCCAACGATATATTGACAAAGAAACAATCAATACACTCCTGATTCTAGGATGCATATATTCACCTGCATGACCAACTAGCTTGATTTTTTACTATCTCAATCATCTTACAAGCAACAGTATCATATCTCATGTTGCCATCATATTCTTCAACTGGCAAGACAAGGTTGGATTCCATGGATCCAGAATATAACAGTAATGAATATGCCTTTTAGTTTAAACTCGTCCATTTGCTAAATTTGGCCTAAGAAACCTTTTTCATAACATCCAACTGAAGTTAAGCGGCATCAGAATGAAAAGACGTGGTATTACTTAATTTCAAACCACTTTGAAAGTGCTAAAGGCAAACTACTGACAAAATCAAACAATTGACATAACAGCTGTATCCTTAGTGGCTGCACTAGCAGCCAAAAGCCCAAATACTTAAGAATCTTGGCGCTTTCTCCATCTCATTAAACTGGATAATAAATTTGGAACTTGCTGAATTTTTATACAAAAATAGGTTCCCTTCACAATTTATTAGAACAAAATATTAATTTATACAAAAGGAACACTGAGGCAAGCCAGATGATAACGCATATGCAGACTTAGCCAGTGAGACTTGGCTCGCTAGTAAAGCAGAATGTAAACAATGGGATGGCAGTTGGAGAATAGACTAGAATCATTGCTCAAAGAAAAAGAAGAAAAGGAAAAAAGCATATGCAAACTTATAAAACTGACACTACCTGGACCAATTGTATGCAGCATTTCCTTCAGACAACAAGCCTTCTTTTCCAGTTGAAACCGTTGCTTTTTCTAGGTGCCTAATATTTATAGATGACCTCGAAGATGTGACAATCATTAAAATTGACAACCAGTGCTTCCGCAAGTCCTGAAGGCATAATATTATACTTGTAAAAAAGCTAGATCAGTTTGTTATATAGAGGTAAAATTTATTTAACTCTAAATAGTGAAACAATCTTTCTAGAGCAGACATGTATGCATGTGTATGTGTACATAACACTGGAGGAAAAGTATTCATATTTGCTGATAATGTTGCTCTAAGGCAGATGACCTTCTAAGCAAAATCCATTATAGAAATCAATTCATACTTAAAAAACTTTTTCTCTGAGGAAAGTTGAGCAACTGCCAGCTACTTCATAAAGAGTTCTAATTGAAACACAAAAGGCCAGAGAAGAACACAAGTCAAAGAAAGAAAAAAAGCAATCTAAGCCACATATAAGAAAACAATAAAGTGGTCTGCCGAAGTACACCATGGATAGACTAATACACAAAATCCTCTTAACAAAAGCAAACAGAGATGAGACTATCGGTACTAGTATTATCTCATGCCCTCCTCAAAGAGGATGTGCTATTGGACTGTCAATGATATCATGATCTAATCTGTATAACTATAATACAACCTAACCTTTGAATCAACTAGACCCAATCTTCCTTTGAAATGAAAATGTCGATATAAATGAGTATCAATATGCTAAAGGAATAGATAATAATGAAAGTATTTGTAAGAAACTAAGAGGTGGCTCAAATTCGTATACGGGAGTGTCTTGGAGAACGAGTCTTCAGCTGAAGAAGAAGATAAGAATAAGGCAGAGAAAAAATGAAAACGGAATGAGTCAGCAAAGGAGGACGCCGCAGTTGTTAATTTGACAGAGAAAGAAAACAGAGCAGAATAAATAAAGATGGCAACTTGGACTTCGACCAAGAAAGTTAGGGATCAAGTCTATGTTGGTGTTGATGTTTTGATGCAGATGACCTTTTTTCCCCAAGAAAAACTTGGATGGTTTGAATCGTTTGATAATGATAGTTGCTATCTCCAAGATCCTTACAAGGTGGAGGAAATTAAAGATAAAGGTACTTATGGAAATTCTCTTCAAACTTGTAGTCTTGTGACTCTTGTCTAATAGTCAATATGTGGATATTAAAACCGACCCACAGAATTTTTTAACTAGGGCTTGAATTACACAGGTTTAGAAACCATCCCACTAAAACATGCACTTGTGAATTTTCACAGGTTTAAAAATGCAATTATTATGAATTTTTACAAGTTTAAGAAATAACATACTCTAAAAAGTACCTTCATAGCACCTTATGGTGAAAATATTAATAAAAAAATCCTACCAATGAAATGATGAGAAGTTTGAAGACAACTACGCTTGACGTACAAGAATCAGGAAAGTAAAAGATGAGTGTCTTACAGATAGGTCACACGTAATAGCAGAGATACTCTCTCCTTGAGGCTTTGGTATGTTCTCAAGACAATGAACCACTTGTTGAAAGAGGCCCCTCAAAGTGGCATCTAAATCCAGAGCCACCATTCCTGGAGTACCAAGTAAAAATCGGATTCTTCCAGCACAAGATGATAGATAGGATAATGCATAACCTTTTACCGCTGCATATAAATAAGTTATCAGTATTTTCGCAATACAAAAAGATTTTAGACAGGTTCTACTGACTTAAGATTTCAAAATTTGTAACTTAAAACATGGATTTACTTGGGAGAATTAAAGAACAACATGTAAGGAAACATTTTAAAAATTTTGATGCTATCAACTACTATGTCCCATATAGAGGTTATGTCAGCCTCAGGGTAAAAGAAGCTATTTATTTGCTGATCCAACCTCAAGAAGATACTTCTTTGCAGATTAAAAAGCAGATATCTATTCTACATATTTTATCCCAAAAAACATACTTTAATGAAGTCCTCATATTTTCTGATTTGCAGTTTTGACCCAAAATCACTTCACGTTAACCAATCGAACCAGTTCTTTTAGAAATCAGTCACTGACTTTTCAGATTTTGCACATTCTTAATGTCTGCTTGAAAACTTTATTCAAACCTCTGAAAATTGCAACAACAACAACAACAAAACCCTCAGTCACAAAACTAGAAACCCATCTCACAATATTGCATATGACTTTGTCAGGTCTTAGTGTTGACATATTAGTATTATTAGGGACTTATTTGTAAGTTTTGTAGGGGCCTATATAAAGCCCAAGAGATCTCATAATGAATTAGGGTTTTCACATTCTTCATGGTATCAGAGCCACCAAAACCCTAGCCGCCCCCCTCCTTCTTCCTCACCCGGCTGCCCCCCCCCTTCTTCCTCGTCCGATCAAACGCGAGCCCCCCCCCCTTCATTCTTCCTCGTCCGGCCAGCCCCACTCAAAGCCATCGGAAAGCCCCCCCCTCGCTTTCATCGGTCCCGATCCAAAACGCGAGCCTCCCCCCTTTTTTACCCCTGTTCCCCTCCTGTCCGAGACACCGAACCCCCCCTGTTCTCCTCCTGTCCGAGACCCCGAACCCGACCGCCGGCCCCTGTTCCCAGATCCGAACCTCTACCTGAACCCCTGTTCCCAGACCCGAACCCCCCCCGACCTCTGTTCCCAGACCCGACCCCCCCCCCAGACGCTCTGTCCAGACCCTAGCGCCGAACACCCCCGCGACCTGCCCTGTTCCCAGCACCCGAACCCCCCCCCTCCTACCTGTTCCACGACCCGAACCCCCCCTCTAAATTCTTCTAGCGCGTGCCAACCTCGAAGCTCCCCTCTCTGCTGCGGCTATGCTGGACCTAGAGTTTGGCATGGGTTCCCTTGACTCAGTCCTCGAACTGATGACAGGAAGAGTATATATCTCACATCGATGAGGTATATAACTGTTTTTGGTTCTTGTTTCCTCTGAGAAACGAGAATTTGTTTGCGATCCTACTCTTGTTGTGCAGCAGTGGTGCTGCCGAAATTTTTACTGCACACAAGGGTCGGAAGAGGAGGTGATCAGGTGTTGGGTCTGAAGCCTGTTCGATGGAGGAGATCATCAAGAAGTTGAACCCTGCGGAGGTGTCAACTTTGATGAAGTTGATGAAGTTGTCGGCTGATGAAAGCACGACAAGACCATCGAAGAAGTTGGAGCTTCCGACCATCGATCTGAAGCTTGATGGACCGAATACGTACCTGAGCTGGTCGCGACGGGTGAGATACATCCTTGCAGGGAGGAATCTGGAGGGTTATCTGACAGGAGAGGTGACAGAGGAGGAGGACTCAGAGGGAAGAGATGAGTGGAAGTCCACTCATATGTTGGTGTACATCTGGCTTCTCAACTCGTTGGTCCCGACGATCGCCGCCACGGTGGATGGCATTGAGAAGGTGAAGGACGTCTGGGAGAAGTTGAGGAGGACATATGATGGAGTGGGGAATAACCTGAGGGTATTCCAGATTAAAGGAGAGATCGACGCCACAGTCCAGGGAGAGAGGACTGTACATGAATATGCTACAGAACTGGAGCGTCTGTGGCTGGATTATGACCATTTTTCCCCCCGGGCAAGCTGCAAGGACCCAGGATGTAAAGAGCGGGAGGCCTTTCTACAGGAGAGGACTATGGTGTTTCTCAAGGGATTGACATCAGAGTTCGCTCAGCGAATCGCATTGCTACTAGCTCAGCCGAAGATTCCCACACTTGAGGAGGCTGTCTCTGCTATGATCCAGGAGGAGACTCGCATTCGGCTGCAGGCAGGGACAGGTGGACTTCCTGTGGTGAAGTCAGCAATGGCAGCCTCTAGCAACACTGGATCTAGGGGAGAGACTCGACAGTGCTACAACTGTGGTGCGGTGGTCGTGCTCTCCTCACGATACTCAGGAAAAAACAGCAAATAGCAGGGGATGGAGATTTGAGGAGTGGGACTGCGGAGGCATCCACTTCGTTCTTCGTCAGAGGCAATATTGCTACCTATGCTCATCCAAACAAAGGTACTGATGACATACATGCTCTTGCTTCTATGTCTCCCGACAGATCATCAGTGGATAAACGGCAAGTAGCAGGGGATGGGACTGAGGAGGCATCCACTTCATTCTTCGCCAGAGGCAATACTGCTACCTATGCTCATCCGAACAAATGTACTGATGACATACATGCTTTTGCTTCTATGTCTCCTGACAGATCATCAGCATGGATAGTCGACTCCGGTGCGTCTTGTCATGTGACAGGTAATGCTAGTGAGTTCTCATCATATACTCACTTAGCATCGCCTGATAGTATTCAAACAGCTGATGGTACATTTCAGCCGGTGGTTGGTAAGGGTACAGTTGATTGTACTGGTTCTGTAACTTTGTCCAATGTTTTGCATGCTCCTTCTTTTCCAGTCAATCTTTTATCTATTAGTTCTATCATCCTCCAACTAAAATGCATCGTCTCTTTTGATATTCCCAAGGTAATCTTCCAGGAGAAGGGGACAGGGCGGAGACTTGGGACTGGCACATGGCGTAGTGGACTGTGGTATCTGGATCGTGAAGGGCTGGATTCAGCATTGGTGTCAGTCATAGAGGAAGCAGGAGTAGGATCTAAAATGAGTGCTGAAAATGAGTTAATGCTCCATCACCAGCGTTTGGGACACTCATCCTTTAGTGTTTTAGGTAGATTGTATCCTTCTTTATTTGAGAAAGCAAATAAACAGAAACTTGTGTGTGATGCATGTGAGTTTGGAAAGCTTACTAGAAGCTCTTATGTTAGTTCTGGTCATAGAAGTTCTCATGTATTTGACCTGGTACATTCAGATGTTTGGGGGCCTTGTTCCACAAGTTCTATGAATGGATACAAATATTTTGTTACATTTATTGATTGCTTCTCTCGTGTTACTTGGTTATACCTGATGAAGAATAAGAGTGATGTGTTTGGGTGCTTCCAAAATTTTCATAGGACTGTTCAGACTCAATACGGAGCAGTGGTGAAAGTATTGAGGTCAGATAATGGGACAGAGTATACCAACAGAGCCCTTGAAGAATATTTGTCAGCTCAAGGAATACATCACCAGACAACCTGCCCATACACACCAGCACAGAATGGGGTAGCGGAAAGGAAGAACAGACATCTGTTAGAGGTTGCTAGAAGCATGATGATCTCTATGAATGTCCCAGAAACATTATGGGGACAAGCAGTATTGACCGCAGCAGCGTTGATCAACAGAATGCCCTCGAGAGTGCTGGATTGGAAGTCTCCGTGTGAGATATTGAAGGGAGATAATGGTGGGGTTCTTCCACTCAAAGTGTTTGGCTGTGTGTGTTTTGTGAAGGACAACAGGCCGTCTGTCGGGAAGCTTGCCCCTAGAGCTGTGAAGTGTATCTTTGTGGGATATTCTGCTACTCAGAAGGGATATGTTTGCTGGAGCCCGGTGGAAAAAAGGTTGTTTGTGAGCATGGATGTGCACTTTCGAGAACTCGAGCCATATTACACCCAGAAGGTAACTTCATCTGTTAGTAACTCGCCCAATACTAGAAGTATGGGGCGAGAGGAGGAGAATGGTGAGAGACCGGAGAGCAATAATGTGGAGAACACTGTTCAGGGGGAGCTACTAACATATAGTAGGAAGGGCAAATAAATTGCAGGAACAGTACCTACAGTGCCACTAATGCTGCCAAGTCTCTTGCCAACGCCTACCCCGACTTCTGAAATACCACCAATTTCATCTCAAGGTGATAGCATTCCTACTGATAACATTCCTCTCTCTACTCCTCCCACACCAATATCAGTACGGAGGACTACTCGCAGTAATGCAGGACATCCTCCCGATAGATATGGTTGGGATCTTGCCCAGTATGTATCATATTCTAGTATCCACCCTGCATATGGAGCATTCATTGCATCATTGGACTCTGTTACTGTACCTAACAATTGGCAGGTTGCTAAGAAGGACCCAAAATGGAAAGCGGCTATGCACGAGGAGCTAGGAGCTCTAGAGAAGAACCGCACTTGGGAGCTAGTAAAGTTACCAGAAGGAAAGAGAGCAGTTGGATGCAAGTGGGTCTTCACTGTGAAGCAGAATCCAGATGGACAAGTTGAGCGCTACAAGGCTCGCCTGGTGGCAAAAGGGTATAGTCAGACATATGGCATCGATTATGATGAGACTTTTAAGATGAGCACTGTTTGGACCTTAATCTCTCTGGCAGTAAATGGTGGATGGAAGCTACACCAACTAGATGTGAAGAATGCATTTCTTCATGGAGATCTAGTGGAGGAGGTATACATGGAGATACCACCAGGATTTGGTACAGATCAGACAGTGGGAAAGGTCTGCAGATTGAAGAAGTCTCTCTATGGTCTAAAGCAATCTCCCCGTGCTTGGTTCGACAGATTCAGAAGGGCTATGATTGGTATGGGATACCAACAGATCAACGCCGACCATACAGTGTTCTTTCGACGGAGTGGAGGCCACATTACTATGCTTGCGGTATATGTGGATGATATGATTATTACAGGGGATGATGAGAAGGAGATTGCCCAACTCAAAGTGAGACTGGGTAAGGAATTTGAGGTGAAAGATCTTGGCTTGCTTAGATACTTTCTTGGAATAGAGATAGCTCGAGGAGCGGAAGGGATCATCCTATCCCAGAGAAAGTATGCACTGGATCTTCTCAAAGAGACAGGAATGTTAGGGTGCAAACCTGCAACTACACCGATCGACCAGAGGTTCAAGCTAGGTGCTGAGGCTGGAGAACCAGTTGATCGTGACAGATATCAGAGGTTGGTGGGAAGGCTGATCTATTTGAGTCACACACGTCCTGATATCTCCTTTGCAGTAAGCGTGGTGAGTCGCTACATGCACGATCCGAGGAAGGGTCATATGGACGCTGTGTACCAGATTCTGAGATATTTAAAGAGTGCCCCCGGAAAGGGGCTGATATTCAAAAAGAATGGACATGTGAATATCGAGGGTTATTGCGACTCTGACTGGGCTAGCTGTGCTGATGACAGGAGATCCACCTCAGGATACTGCATCTTTATAGGAGGCAATTTAGTCTCGTGGAAGAGCAAGAAGCAATCAGTGGTGGCGAGATCGACAGCTGAGGCAGAGTATAGAGCTATGGCCTTAGGAGTTGCTGAGTTGCTATGGTTGAAGAGTATGCTGTTGGAGCTGAAGCTGGATCAAGGAGCTAAGATGAAGTTATAGTGTGACAACAAGTCAGCTATCAGTATTGCCAACAACCCAGTGCAGCATGATAGAACCAAACACATCGAGATCGATAGGTTCTTCATCAAAGAGAAGTTGGATAGTGGACTACTGGAGCTAAGTCATATTGCGACTAAGGACCAGGCAGCAGATTGTCTGACTAAAGGGCTCAGCTCAGTAGATATGATTAGAGGATGTGACAAGATGGGCTTAATAGATATCTTTCGCCCATCTTGAGGAGGAGTGTTGACATATTAGTATTATTAGGGACTTATTTGTAAGTTTTGTAGGGGCCTATATAAAGCCCAAGAGATCTCATAATGAATTAGGGTTTTCACATTCTTCACTTAGCTTACGAACTCTTACTCTTGAGATCAATATATGTCTCAAGAGAGTTAAGTGTAGTTAGATGTCCATATACGTTTGCTGGTGTCAATTTAAGATTATCTGGAGATTGCTTAAAGCGAGATATACAGATATCAAGCTACCACAAGGCAACTGAACTGTTAGCTCATGAATTAAGTTGATTTCATTGTTTTCATTTGCATCTATCAACGTAATATTAATTAAGAAAACATGTTAGTTTTACTGCATATAGAAGGGTCAAACTCGGATTATTGTTCGTGATATATCTATACATGCATTTGTTTTGTATGAAAATTATTTTGCTTTTAGCAATACAAATTCCTCACGATTCTCTACTATATTTCTGAAGCAGTGCCACAGGGGTCTGTGGTATGCTGGAACCATGGCACTGCAGTGATGTGGTATTCTAGAGTTATAGACCTGCACCATTGGAGTCATATAGAGTCATATGTGGTTTTTTGGGCCTGTACCATTAGGATATACTCATGAGTCATGACCATAGTTGTATGGCTGTTGAAAACTTTTGAATTTTGCTTCTTTGACTCCTGTACAACATTAGTTACATTTCTGCACAAGTTTTCCTTTTTTATTCTTCTTTTTTGCATCTATTGCACATGCATGCTTTCTCCAGTCTGATCCACTAGTGACATATAAGTTGTCTTGTTCAGCTGTGTACCTCACTGCTTCGGTTTAAAGATTTTAAATTGTAAATAGCTTAAGATTCAGTACTGAAGTGTTTAGTAGCTGTTCAAGGTCGGCTAGTTGATCCACTTTATTTCTATAAAAAGCAAGTTTTAGGTACAGAGCATGTTTGGCAAATGATCAAAAAGGATTATAATCAACTTTCGAATGTTTGGAAACTGGATTAGTTTGGAATATAATCCACAAAAAATTAATCTGGGGCACCCCATGTTATTTTTTGATGGATTATAATCCATGAGGTTTGACCAAGTAAAAAACAATTATACACCTCATAATTTCACAAAATCCCATGCCTCATTTAATAAATCACCACCAACCCATGTGCTTTTTGGTCATTTTGACAACAATGAGAGATTATTATCCACCTATTTGCCAAACACTCTACTATTGAAAACATATTATATTCAACCAAATTTACCAAACACTATGAAATCTATGGATTATAATCCAAAAATGGAGTTTAATCTAAGTGGATTATAATCCAAAGTTCCCAAACATGCCAAAGTCTCTTTGAAACAACCGATAACATTTATTCGAATTTCAAACACATTTTACGTGGAGGTTAAAGCAAATATGCCCCAGGATTTTGGGATTGGTGATCATACCCTTGGTCAGGTAGAAAATTTGATCATCAGATGTTCATCTTGTCATTACTACATGTGCTGTGGTGGACAATGGATGATACACTGGACTACATGCAAGTACCATGAGTTCCCCTGCCACTAACAACTATGAACTACCATTTATCTAACCCCCACAAACCTAGCTACGAACTACTAGGCTTTTATCTACTAATTTCGCGGTGATCAAATTATCGAAGTACTCACATAAATTTCAAGTTCTACTTCTATCCTTGGTTCAATGATATCAGGATTATACGTATGAATTTTGTTGAAACGTGATACATATAATATCAAGTAAATGCAGCTTGGATCTACAGGACTTTTTAAAGATGGATTCATCTTTCCCCTGTGTAAGATAGAATAAAGTAAGAGAACAGTTAGGTTGAGGTTTCAATTACTGGAACCAAATCTATTAGTTTCTGTGATAAAACAAACTGCTTGCAAAATTTTATGATACACACATAACTGGATTGGCAAGAACCAAATAACTAACAGAACTGAAAATAAGGATAAGAACAAGGTTGATAATATACAGTAATGTCTATGCAAAGAAGATCACTAAACTGCATGGCTTCTATCACAACTACTAGATGAGAACCTCAAAGTCTAACGACTCTAACCTGCAATGTATTTGCGAACTAAACCGCAAAGTTTATCCATTCCATCTAATAAGAATCCTATAGTTGGATCAGCTGCATCCTGCAAGCAATGAAATTGATGTTATCGTTATCGATAGGTTCATATGGAATGGACAAAACATGTTGTATCTTTCCACAAGGACAGGCAAAACACAATTTAGAATATAGCATACTTACAACGTCAATGGATACCATTCGTGTGGCTTTAGATTTTGGTGATGCAATTCCAACATGTTGGAAGTACCAAATTATCTCACATTGAGCCAAAGCAAGTGCGGAAAATACCATCTGCAGAAATTATACTATATGATTCACTCTAAGAAACACAATCTGAATCCAAATAGAAGTTTAAAGAAAAAAAGGAAAAGCATTGAGCTCATTTTGAGCAATATCCATCTCTTGGTCATCATGTATCAATCTTTATAGCATATATTGGATCCTTCATATCAATCTATACAATATCATATGCTCAAGGAAATTGGCATGCTCTAGTAGACTACAGTCTACAGTAGAATGGCATCTGATGCACTGACGTGCTGTAAATATATCCTGTTAAGTTGCACTAATTATATGCAGCAGATTGCACAAATTAGATAGAAGCATTCGATGGATGATCATGATTAACACAAAGTTGAGACGATAAAAATCCAGAATCAGAAGTTGATATAACACATTTTAGACCAACAACCATCTAGAATCTAGCGAACGGAGTTTATCATAATCATGTGAATAAGACAGAAAAGTATATGTATAAACAATAAGTTACGGTGCGGTTCTCGTACCTGAATATTAGGTGCCAATAAACTAGGTTGATCTGCAAAAAACAAAACCATTCTCCCAATTTCTTGTTTGATAAGTATCCTCCTCTCCCAGTGTATAGCATTACAAGTGACAAGTGCTTGTTCCTGGACCTCACTGCAATGAATCAATATTGTCAAAAATTAACCTCCCAACCCAAAATGTAGGTACCAGTTCACAACAAATCTGAGAACTAGTGAAGTGCTGAAACAAATAATCAGTACTAAAATATTTGACATCAGGAAAGCAATATATCCAAGCTACCCCTGAAACGCTTTAACTTCCACACCTAAAGAATCTATGGGTGGTCAAAGGATTATCGAATATAGATAGTTTCAAGTTATTCCCCAAGTGATATATAAAATAAGTGGAGTTCAATCAGAAGGAATATTAGGGCACGTACCATATCATTTTCTCGACCTGTTTAGCAACATTATACTCCAAATCTGCTTCCTTCTGTTTTGCACGTCCAGATTTGGCCATTTTCTTTGATTCTAAAATTCTTGGCAGAACGTAAAGCTGATATTCTTCATGCAATAGGACATACTGCAATGTAAGAAAAGATGTTGTTTAAGAAGGTGATAAAAAAAGACTATTAATAGCTTTCTCCACTCCAGAACACACTTACCTCATCTCTGAATAGGGTGAGGACTAAGTTTTCCTTGAGTACAACCTGGAAACAGAGGGACAGAAATATGATTTATAAGCTTTCCCTTTTCAACAGAAAACTAGGGAAGAAAAGTTGAGCCAATATAAGAACGGTAATAAAAAAATAGTTACTGTGGGTAAGAACATACTGACATAAATATAGGTGACAGAAGTAAAATGGTCTATGAGAATACACATGGTAAGCATGTGAAAACACAAGAAGCAGCAGTGACAGAGAAGGAGAAAGATATATGGGTAATACGCTTAAGGTGTCAATGAAGCTTCCAATACTACAAGGTACTTAATTTAAAGGGTAAAAATTAGCAACAGGTGGCAACTCAGACAAGTAAAATGTTTGATGCCAGTGACACTAGTATAGCATGTGTTATTTAACATGAAATGATGTAGGCCATAACTTATCAATAGGGTGAGAATTCCATCTATACTACCAAGAAAAGAATCTGAATTGAAGTCAAGGAGCAAAAAGAATACACAAACTGAGCTGCAGAGATTTAAAATCACTGAACATGCATGTCTCAACTTGATTTACGGATGAAAGTAACTTTATTTCAGCAAAGAGGCAGCAATCTTATCTACTAACAAAGAATAGGTGTGGAATAACTAAGCTCATGCAGGAAATATGAAACCAGGGATAGCAAGCTGGGCAGTTGTCCTTGTTCACTGCTCTGTTGACAATTAAAATTGATGACATAAAAAATATACCATTGCAATATCAATACTTGTGACACGGAGAAGCTCATCAGGACAAACAAGATAGCCATATAGCACCCATTCTCGATAAGCAGTCACATTAGCCAAGTCTTGAGCCCTCTGCAAAACAATGAGATATTGATTAAAAGACAAACATAAAAGTTGATATCAGAAAAGAAATATCTATCCCAACAATACTTCTCTAGCAAGGAAATAGAAATTAACACTTGGAAAGATTTTGGAGAACAGACCTACCATGGGATGAGCAGAGTTTGTCAGTATATCAGGATAACGAGGATGAAATGGGCTTAGAAACCCTTCATTTCTCAGCTTTTTTGTGTCGGTAGAAAGAAAAATGATAGGACCCACGGCCTCAAGTACCTGCAATAGAGAAGAAACAGAATGTAAGGGCACCAGAAGAAGAAGCAAGGTTGGGCACCCCAGGCCTTCTTAAATAGATAATTTTTGCACCAGATATGTCTTAACAGAGATCATCGTGAAATTATACATAGACAACAAGCATGCATCAGATTATCCACATGCATTTGCAATCTTAGCTGTAATAGTTATTTTCCATTAATTAACTAGGTGAACTTCAGATGGTTAAACCATGTATATAATTCATCTTTTATAGCTGAAGTGACATCTCCTTCAGCATTTCCGAATGTTTCTTACATGTTTTCCTACTATAATCAATCTTTAACAACAAAGAGAGTGCAGCATAATCAGAAGATGGCCCCCAATCAAACTCCACTTTGTAAAATAGGACTTTTAGGATATTATTCAATACTAGAACTAAAGAACTTCAGTACTTTGAATAATTGGTTCAAGTCCTTAGCAGAAAGTAGCCATACATCACTTTCAAAATGATGAAGGTAGACATATGTCAAATTGCACAGAAACATGCATGAAAATAGCCATGGCTGGATATCAATGTTAAGCAAGACTGCAAGAGATAGAAGCATGACCTCTCCTATACGAGGGCTGACAAAATTAAGGTCTTCTTGCAACCCTTTTGCTGGTGGATCATAGGAGTCTACAAACTGAACCAATCTGATGAATAGAAGATAAAAGAACAAAGACAAAATGAGAAAGCAATTACTTCAAACAAGTAATCTTAAATCAATTAGTGTAGAATGGGTAGAGTCAAGTGAATCAAGAAATAAAGTGGACTACATTTAATTGCTCTCTCCTTTTAAAAAAAAGTGCAATGATATGCCACTATGTAAGTCAGCAACATTTCTACCAAATACATAGACAATATTTGATGTCTTCTTTATGGCTTTGCCATACGTCTAGGCAGTTTGGATCTTGATTCAGAAAAACTTCACACAATGAACAGACTTCAAGACAACAGAGAAATTTACCTGATGGAGGTAGAATTTTTAAGCGTTTTTTGGGCGATACACCCCCCAAATCTTTCCTATTTTCAGATGTACTCCCTAAATCTGCCTTAGTCCCCCCTTACATTCTCTCACATTGGCTTTTTATACCCCTCTCCTTTAACACCATTAAAATTCATAGGGGTAAATAAACAAATATGAAGATTTGAGTAAATCTGCATATAAGGTGGGTATGTAGGCAAAAAAACTTACTTTTACGGAAAGGAGGTATTAAGTAAATCTGCATATAGGCTAGATTTTGTGTGTGTGTGTGTGTGTGTGTGTGTTTTGTTTTTGTGTGTGTGTGTGTTGGGGGGGGGTATATGGGCAAACAAACCTTACTTTTAGACAGGGGGGTATTTTTGTCATTTGACCTATTCTCAGTTTGAAATTTAACGGTGTTAAATGTTAGGGGTATCCTACCTCAATGTCAAAGAGTATACAAGTAATAAGCATATTCTGATTTAAGGGTTAAATCTGGAATAAGATAGATTTGACGGGTACACAGGTAAGAAAACCCAATTATAATAGCGCATAATTTCTACCATATACTGGCTGTCTAATTCGACTTATTTGCTTATTTTCTTTTGAAATGATACTCATATGGATAGAAATGTGCTTTTGATGTATGTTGGTTACATTTGAAAAATCAAAAAGAAGCTAATGAACAAAACAGAAGAAATGTTTGTGGAGACTTATTCTAGTATTAGACTTGTAATTTTGGTAGAAAAGTTTGCTGAGAGTTCTATAAAAGGCAAATTATTAGTTTGGAAGTTTAGAGCTGACTCTAAAAGTTTCGGTTACAAATGCCTTGTTGATGGCATTGTACTCGTATGGGATTTTTTAAGAACCCCATTATTAGGAAAGTTTTTTATTTGAGTATGACTAGGTCTTTCTTTTTGGAAGACTAGTTTCTGGTTGATCAAGTTTTATAAGCCTATAAAACACTGTTTGCAACGAGTGATACTAACATTAGGAAATCAAATGGTCACTTACTTGCAACAAGTGATTCTAGTTCTTTATTGATAGCATGACAAAAAAGATGGGAAAGAAAAGATTATAGTTCACAGAGAGGAATTATTCCAAGCTTAAACTATATCACACCATAAACGTAACTTCCTACCGATGGTAAAACTCACAGTCTCGACCACCTCTTGACATGGAGTGCAAGAGATTATACACTTGAATAATCATTTTTCTTGGTATCTGCGAAAAAGGAATATTTTATTGTCTTAGAATAGAAATTGTACTGAACACATTAATTCAGTGCAGCTGATCAGCATGAACTATTACTAATATACTGTAAAAGAGGCAAAAGGTTCAAAAAATCAAAAGCAAAGGATAAGAAGCTGCCTTATCAGAGAAAAGATTAACGCGGACAAAGGAACAAAAGAGATCCATGAAAGCGTGTAGAATTAGTGAGTTCTGATGCGGCTGCAAAAACAGACAATCAGCTCATCAGAACATGTATCAACTTGCATAGAAGCGTCCAAGCAGTGACAAATGTACTTCATAAAGAGTAAGCGTTTACCAACAAAGTGATGACTGTACTACTCAAATCCAATATAAGGCGCAAAGCTTGCTCCCGGAAAGCCATTAAGTCAAGTAGAAGCTGCACAGAAAAGAAAAGGAATAGATTACCGACATCTGCCATCTATTACTAACAGGACAAGGCTATATATAGTCTGTGGAACTAGTATCTCACAACAAAACTCCATTTGTCCTGATAGTTACTTGCATACAGTTGGTCATTCTCCTACCTTAAAATACACCAGAATAGTATTATTTAAGATGGATGAGCTTTACATCTTGATAATTTGTTCATGGATTTAGCTCCTATACGTTGAAACTTAAAACATACAGAGTGAGAGGTAAGACATCTGGTAGGAATGAAATGTTCAGAAAATTGAAGTTGGAATAAAATAAATGCACAAAGAGGATCCATCTATCTTGGACCCACCATAATGGACCTAGGCGCCAGGAGTATCATGTAAACAGTGAAATGGAGGTATAGGCTAAACAAGCAATTATATGTCAAAAAATTTTGATGTTTAAAATGAAATCACAGTATAGACTATGGCACTCAGTGCTGCTAGGTTCATCTCTACTACAGGGTCAAGTTATAGAAAACATCCAAGTTGGGATGACCTAAACCTGGAAATTGAAGGGTTGGGCTGTTCGCCATTTCCTAAGACAAGTTTTAAGGAAAAGGAAAAGCAAGAGCATGAAGATTAATAGATAAAGAATCCCGGAAACATACAGTGATGGCCTCCTTCTTATAATTTGATTAATAAATTAAGTTCGCCTAAAAATATAAGTCAGCGTGACACATGAAAAAACTTAATATATGCGCTCAGGATAACACAATTCTGATGTTTGGGGTTGAAGAAGTTGCAGCTTAAGACGTCCCAATCAAATCAAACACTAAATAGCCGTACAACAAGTAACAAATTTGTAATCATTTGGAGACTAGCCAGCTTAATAATTAGTGGGTGAACAGCATAAATTAGCAAATCAAGCAGCATACCCCAATCCACGGTTCTAAATTCTGTAGATAACCGTCTGCGCTGCCATTTAAAGCATCAAGTGCAACTTTATCAGCCTGCATAAGAAAAGCGCGTATCATAACAAGATCTAGTTATTACTAAAACGAACCCCCACTTAACCAAACAAATCTCACTCTCTCCAGCTGCAACTTATTCGGGTGCTCCGGAAACCTCTTCGACAAAAGTACACAAAGCCTTGGAAAATTAGGAAGCACGCCGGCCATCCAAAACGCATCCGAAAATGTATGCGACGCAACATCAGGGCTATCCAAAACACGATACAATTTGTAAGCTTTGGACAATAAACCCTCTGCGACTTTAGACAGCTGGACCACAGATTCCACGTGTAAGCCCTTCTGATGAGCTCCAGAACCCGGTGTTGATGTCGAAGGGGAGGATTCTTCGGCGTTGAGGTACTCGGACCATCGAGACATGCTATCCGAATCCCTAGATTTTAGGGATTTGGCCATGGTTACAGCTGATCAAGTAGCCTACAAGCATCGAATAGAGCCAAGGTTCATTCTTTTTCACGCAGAAGGTCAAGCATTGGTGTTTATTGACTCTACAATCTTGAAATAATAATAATAATAATACAAATTTTAAAAAAAAAAGTTGCTTGCATATAGAAACGCAATCCAAATCCCTAGATTTCGAAACTGATGACCGAAATCGAGAGAAATTTTAAGGGATCGTGAGGCGATTGGACCTTTTTCACCGCATGTTTCAGTGCTGGGGGGGGGGGGGGGGGGGGGGGGGGGGGAAATGGCTGGGTAGCGAGTCGGCAAGAATGGGCGAGATGAAAATCCCAATCCGCCCTGCTTCTAGAGAGAAGGAGAAAGAGGCTTGGACTGGCCGAGTTCAGACAAAAGGTCTAAATTTTTTTCGCAGTTTTTTTTATAAAAGTGGGGTTTTTATTTGTGAGGAAAAAGCGCGAGAGAATCTCGCTAATTTTTGTCTTGTCTTAATTAATTTGGTGGGTTTTTTTCTATGGATAAATTGTTTGTGTTTTCCTTTTTCTTTTTCTTTTTTATAGATGTTAAGCGTCGTTGGAAAAGATGGCTGAAGTCAAAATATTTGGACTGCCGCACAGCAAAATTTTCGATTTCCCTTTTAATTTTTTAACTTTGATCGAAAGATTTTCATTTCCTCAATTTAGTAAACGTAAGTTTCTAAAATCCTAAAAGTTAGTCATTTTGTTAATTTTTTTTAGATATTTTGCCAATGGTGATGCTTGGAGCGAAATGGCAACTTTCTAGTTTATAAATATGCAATCACTCGTGAAGAAAATAGTAGAAATTGAATTTTTTTTCCTCTTTCAATAGATCGAGAAAAGTAGAGTTTAGAGCATCCGGAAATAAATTTGAGTTTAAGATTGAAGAAGTATATTAATTTTTTTTTGAAAAAATAAAATGGTTGTAATAAGTTAAACATCTTGCTCGAAAATTTCTTCAAGAAAATCGGAACTCTGAAGAGGACCTTCAAAGCCTTCAAGAAAAAAAATTATTTTTCTCCATAAACAGTTTCTGTGTATATGTGCAAAAACTAATTAATTTTGCATTGCCCTAACAAAAATTAGTGGATTTTTATTTGATTAAGATTCTGTTTTTGGCGTAGGCTTTACTTAAAATCAGTGGCCTTAATTTATACATGCTTGGCGTGAACTCCACTCTAAGAAGTAGTGGCAAAGAGTTTTCAGTGCTTTCAAATTGATTTATTATTATTATTATTATTCAGTCCCTGGTAAAGTTAAAGGGAAAGAAACAAGGAGATATTGTTATCATGGACGTCCATAATTAAAGGAACTCCTTGTTGACTCAGTCCCTGCTGTTGGTAATCACATGAAGTTGCTATATATTTAAGCAGTTTGCAGTTAAGCTAATTGATAAAATAAGTTCAGAGATATTAACTTACATAAGTTTTCAAGATAAGTTAAAAAAAATCTCCCCTCACAATCTAAACAATTGACTTAAAGCAACTTATTATCACACATAGAAAGAAACATCAGTGTTGAACGCTTCGAATTTATTGTCTCATCAGAAAAACTATTTCTAGCTACTCTCTTTTACTCGTTCAATAAAATGTCATGGAAGAGCCGAGAGCGAGAGCTCAAGCATCATTGAGAGCAAGCACACCAGGAAGAGATTTGCCCTCCAGCAGCTCCAAGCTGGCACCACCGCCGGTGGAAATGTGGCTCATCTTGTCAGCGAGCC